AGGAAAACAATAGAATTGTATCCATTTTCCAGAAAAGGAAACTCAGAGAGATTGAATAACTTGCTGAAGGCCACACACATAGTCAGTCAGAGTCCCAGGGTCCCAGGCAAGGAGCCCAAGTTCTCAGCCACTTTGTTTCATTACCTCACCTCTGACTTAAGGCATTAAAGGGTTCCCTGGGCTGTAGTGTACGGTCAGGAAGAGCTCATCACCCATCTCTTTCTCAACTCTCCCATCTGCCTTTCTCCCACAGTTCCTCAGGCAGATTGTACACAGACAGGGACCCAAACAGGGAAGAGTAGATGCACTTTGGAGTGACAGAGGATAGTCTCAGTGCTTTTTTGCTGGCTGAACATTCAGAAACCTTGAGGAAACAGGGACCCTGATGGGCAGATAAAATACAGAGAGTCCTAGGCTATGATGATCAGACCCACAAGCACCCCTGCCGCACACATCCTTTAAAAGAAGCTGAGCAATTGCCAAGGGTGTTCCGAGATCTGCGGAGACAAGTGTACACAAGGTCCGGGGTATAGCTCGCAGCAGAGGTTAGCATGCACGAGGTTTTGATTCCTTCCTCAGCACCCAGGAAATGACGAGGTTCTGATGCACTTCCCTTCGAGGGTGTGCTTCTTTGCCTGAGTGCATATGCTTTTATTCTTTGGTTCATGAGGTGAGCCAGGTCTAGAGTGTCTTTCTGCACAAGGTGAGCAGATAGCTTCACTGTCATGACGAATCATAGTCTGGATTTGAAACAAACTTACCGTGGAAACACACAGTGTAGCCTCAGTAAATAACCAGCTGACTGACGCTTCTGAGACCAATTACTGCCTCTGCCTTGTTGTCCTAATTTTTTTCTTCTTCTTCTATTTTTATATGAACTATCCAAAACAGGAGTCTCCTGGCCATTGCCGCCCACCCCCCATTAAAGTGCACAGTTTCCCTTTTTCTAGTACTTTTAGAAACCCTAGGACCTGGACTCAATGCAGGGGTGAGAAATGAGGGCAGGGCTAAAGAGGAGGATTTTTTTTAATGAATGAGTAATTCATAAAAAATGAATATTCTCACCAAAAGGAGCCGTCTGCCAGCTCTCTGCATGTGTATTGGCTCGGCTGCTCTCTCTGTAACAACTTGGAATTAAATCAATGTGTCACTTGCTTAGTGGCTGCTCAGCTGATTCACCATTAACTTTAAACAACCCATTGTGCAAGGGGCACTTCACTCTGCCATAATGAGGAGGAGATTTTGCCCTGTTCTACTATATGTGTGTGTGTGTGTGTGTGTGTGTGTGTGTGTGTGTATATATATATATATATATATATATATATATATAATGCAAGCCTCAAAATTGGTTGAATTAATTCAGTTGTGTTCAGTATGCTTTTAACAGTTACACCTAACAGTCAGGAGACACCCAGGTGGGGAAAGCAGCTTAATGTAACCAGCCTCTTGAAGTCATTTCCCCAATTCCCCCCCCCCCCTTGGGGTTCTTCTCCTTTAACTTGGCATATCTTTCCCAGTAAAATGTGGGCTGCGAAGACGTGGGACTTGCTCAGTCTCTTCACGAGCAACACGGAGTGTTTTTTTTTTCTTTCCATATTGGACCTGGAGGCCTGCAGGTGACATGAAAGACACCTGCAGTCTTCTTGCTGACGGTGCATCTGAGCGCCTGTTTCTTACCTCCGCTCAGTGTTTTCTGGATTGCCGGAGTCTTTTTGTTCTCTGCTTCTCACAGCCGGAGTTGGGCTTGCCCCTCCTGTAAGATGCGACTCTGAAGAGAGGCGACTGATTTCCACGTGGGGTTTGCAGAACGAGTGTCATTACATTGCAACCGCCCCTTGTAACTCTCCACAGGCTACAAGCCCGTGCGCCTCCCCTGCGGTTCCGAGAACAATCCACGGGAGAACGCTGACGGGAAGGGCCATTATGGTCACTGATGCTCTTGCCATCTGGAATGGTTACAGTTGTCAGGATTTGAGGCGACTCGCTGTGCTGAGGAATCGCTTTTCTAATGGCAGCGCTAATCAGGAGGGATGCAGCCCGTTGCTAAGAGCTGCCTTGAGAAGAAAATCCCCCGCCAGATGAAAAGGAAGGGCCGCTGATTGGTTTTTTTACCCATTTGAAAATGAAGTAGCTTGGAATGTCATCTTCGGCTCTAAAGGCCATCCTTCACGTCAGGAACCCATGGCTCTGGCCAGCCCTCGGGAGTGTCACATTGTTTTTATGAGCAGAGGACCTGTGTTAGGCTCTTTGTCCTTCCTCTCTGGCCAGCTGTTTCCATGTGAAGGCTGGGCAATTCTCTTTCAGAGGCTTGGCAGGTTTTTATGGGAAGGGTAACGCAGACAGGTGTGGGTGCGGATTTTTTTTTTTATGCCGGCCCCTCCCTAGTTTGTCCCATGCTGTACTGTGCAAGTCCTGGCCTTGCTACTAGAAGTTCCCTTTGTTAAGAGCTGACCCTGTGGAGATTTCTTCAGGTAGCAGGAGGAAAAAGAGTTGGGAACCAGCAAGTGTGTGCTAAACCTCCCTTGGGAGCTGGGCTCCAGACAAACGCTGGGGACTGAGGGGTATTAGGGTGAACCATCAGCCAAACCCTTGGCAGCTCCACATGCAGCAGCAGCCTTCCCTCAGAGTAAGCAGTGTGTGTGTTAACTGTGTGAGAGAGCCTTCTATGGGGCTGGACTCTAAGCCCTAGAGCAATGACAGTCCGGTGGCCCAGGGGCTAAGTCTCTCTCTTAGTGACAACCAGAGGGGCTCTTCCATTCCAGACTCCCTGAAGGCAAACCCTAACTCCCTAGGGTTAAAAATGTTATGTTTTTACAGCAGTGTGACCTAGGGCCTAAGTTCTAAGAACGTGTACTATGACATTCACAAAGGTGCTATTGGGTGTCCTTAGCCCAAGGGGAGTCTGTTTGAGTCTCCCCTGGGTGTCTCTTGTGGCCCAAAAGGCCTTCCTAACAGATTATCATGAACTAGGTACCAAAAAAATTAAAAGAAAATTTTTCACTCCCAGTTCTGGAGATTGGAAGGCCCTAATCAGGGCTGATGGGATTAATCCCACGTGGAGCCTCTGAGAACCTCATCTGTATCTGTCTTCCAGCCTCGAGTGGTTGAAAGCAACCAAGCCAATTTTCGGCTTGTAGAAACACAACCCCTTGTACCTGCTTCTTCATGGAGGCTTCCTTTGTGTCTCTGTGACTTCTTTTCTAACAAGGACAATTGTCTTTGGACTCGAGGTCCACTCACCCATATCAGAATAACAATATCTTCATGCCTTTAATTATGTCTTTCCAAAAAGGTCAAATTCAAAGGTGCGGGGCTGGGGACTTAGACATATTTGAGGAGTCATAATTCAATCTACTATCTGTATAATTTTTCTATACCAGGCTTTGCTGGGATATCTCCTGGTTCCTGAAATTATTTAAATATGTCACTAGAAAAAAGATGCTGCCCACAGACTGCCCCCATCCTAGGTGCAGACCCCAGGTTGGTCTCCTCAAGTTCAGCTTTCTAATCTTGCCACCCTGAGCACTCGGGGTTCCTTCTTGTGGCAAAGGAACGAGTCACCTTTGCTCTGTTTAGAATGAAGACAATGGCTGGGTGGTGGCGGTGGTGGCTCACACCTGTAATCCCAGCACTCAGGAGGCAGAGGCAGGCAGATGTCTGAGTTGGAGACCAGTCTGGTCTATACAGGGCTACACAGAGAAACCCTGTCTCAAAGAACAGCAACAACAGCGACAGAGAATGAAGGCCATAAGCAGAGCTTAAAGTCCCACCTCAGATGGTTTTCCTCTTGAGCAGAAACAAGCAAGTGACATTTCCTCAGGAGGTGCAGCTCCCTCACTGCTTGGTGGCTGCCATATTGCTTTTTTCTCCCATTCTCAGCAGCCGTAGTTTGGGTGTTGAAGATCTCCCAGGCACCCACACAAATAAAAAAAGCCTTGGATTTCAGCCTGGGCCAATATTAGGAGGTGCTAGACTCTTTGGAGAATTCAGTCCATTAGTGGAAGGAAGTTAGATCACTGAGACTGTATTCCCACAGAGAATGTTGGGACCCTGGGTCCTCCACCATCTCCTCTGGCTTCTTGGGTATCATGGGGTCAGCAGCTTCTTCACCATGTGCTACACTGTCCCCACCTACTCATTCTGTTGCCAAGGTAACAGGGCCAAGTTACCATGGCTGAAAGCTCTGAAACTGAGAGTCAAAATAAACATTTTACCTTAGAAGTTGTTTATCTCAGGTTTGTGTTTGTTGTCGGAGGCTGCTTGTTGGTTCCTGGCTGCCCGGCTAGCTTAGACCGAAATTAACACACAGAAACTGTATTCAGTATTAAACCACGGCTTGGCCTATTAGCTCTAGCTTCTTATTGGCTAACTCTTATATTAATTTAACCCATTTCTATTAAACTAGAAATTATTTAAGCTTGCTGTGGCTTACCAGCAAAGTTTCAGACTATCTGTCTCTGTCAGCCGGACTCCACCCTTCTTTCTCCCAGCTTACAGCCTAGCTTTTCCTGCCTAGTTCTGTTCTTCCCTGCCGTAGGCTCAAAGCAATACTTTATTCATTAACCAATAAAAGCGACACACAGACAGAAGGACCTCCCACACCATTTGTTACACTAACAAAAACTGACATTTTTCTCCTTTTTCCTGCCACCAGGCTGTCAGCCAGAGGCTGGTCCTTTGCTTCCCAATGTTCAGTGTTCCTCTGAGACTCAAATTTGAGATTGAAGTTCATGCAAAGACAGAAAGCCTTTAGCTTCTCACAGCCAAGCACACCTGGGCTGAGGTGACCAAAACAACCCAGAGAGTCACCGTCGAACCCAAGAGCTCAGTCTCTTGGACTATCTGGACAACAGAGGCCCCCAAGTCATTCAAATCTTGACCTGAGGCATGACCATGCCTATGACTTGAATCTGGACAGCTGCACCCTGAGAACTCACTCCCAGGGGAGGGGTGCTAGTTTGAAGGCTGTCCAGTCTTCAGTGTGCCAAGTCTGTGCAGTGGAAGGACACCTCTGGGGTCTCTGAAGGTCATGCCTGCTCCACATTCCAGCCTAGGTTTCTCGGCTTCCTGTTCTGAGTCTTGGGAACAGCCTTGTGTGGAAGTTCCTGCCCCTGTCGATCAAGCCACCCCCACTGTTACACTTTGCCTCTGCCACGGCTGTAACACCTCTGAAGCCATCTGCCACAGGAAATCTTTCTTCCATGAAGTTGTTTCTGCCAGGTATTTTGGCCACGGAGATGCCAAGATAACTGATACCCTTAAAGGAAAACATGTGAAGAAGGCTTTGTCTGTCCTGCACTTCCGTGTCTGCTCCACTGGGCACGGTTCAACCCCATGCTCCCAGTAGAAGTCCCATGTCATAACACAACACATACATACCCTGGTATCACCCAGACCTGAAGACCCAGGAGAAAAAAAGAAAAACAAAAGAAGAACACCTCTTCCATCTCCTCCACAGCCACAGAGGAGGATCAGGTCTAGTCCTGTGCACACTTATCTCTTCCCCTGTCAACACGGGCTCACTCTTATCTCTGTTAGCCATTCATTCACGGCTGAGCTAAACAAAACAGGGCATCCCGTAAAAGAGGGCAAAGAGGAGGAGCAGGTCTACAAACACACAGAAGGAATGCTGGATTCAGATGTTCTTCATGAGTGAGCAGTTGCAGCCTCCACGGGCTCACAGTGTGATCCAATTAGCCCAGAACACAGGACGTGAACTTGCCAGGCCCTGGCAGGAAGAGCTAACATCCCACCCCACACCGCACCGTACCCCTACCCCTCTCCTGCACCACCACCACCACACACTGCTATCGGTGAGTCTGCCAGAGAGCCCTTCTGAGTTATGAGCTGTCTTGTGTCAGAAATGTAAGGGCTGTTCGGGCCTGACCTTTCTACTTACTCCTGTACTATGGACACCAACAGTTAACTTATGTGAGGGTGTGGCACACCAGAAAAATGCCTTCAAATCTAGCAACACATGAGCAGTGCCCAGAGGCTACGTGCACCGCAGAAGTGAAGTCTGGCACTTGTTTTGGGGATCCCTGCAGCACAGTGTCCTAAAATGTGCCCAGAGACTGAAGCTGCTGATGTAGGTTGGTTGGTTTGTTTTTATTTCCCAGGATTCCGAGTTTGTGTTTATCTGTTGAAAATCAGTTACCTGTTTCCTTACCCACTTGTGGTTTTAAACACCAGCTTGCTGCTGTGGTTACAATAGTGTTTTAGACTCAGAGTCTTCCTAAAACCCCGTAAGACCTTCTTACACATGCTTATATTGGAAATACTAAGCAGCAAATCTCCCTTTGCCTGTCGTTCACAGTCTGGGCTCTCTTAAATGGAATTTAGTCAACAACAGGCCGGACTCTTCAGTTCTGAGAACAGTACTTAGAGGTCAATGTTGCTGGTATTTGTTTCATTTTGTTTTGGAGAGTCTTACTATGTAACCAAGCTGGTCTGGAGTTCAACAACTCTCCTGCTTTGTTTCACTAAAACAGCAACAACAGACATTGTTAAGTGCGAGTTTGTGGGTATTGGTGCGGCTGTACATGGAGAGTGTTACATGTGCGCATGTACTCACGCATGCGTGGAAACCAGAGGACAATGTCAAATGTCCTCCTCACGAACACTGTCTCCTTTTTTGAGACAGAAGCACTTACCGGTCTGGAGATCACCAATCAGACTGGACTGGCTGCGCAGGGAGCCCCCAGGGAGCCTTCTGCCTCTGCCTCCCAGGACTACTGGGGATCAAACGAAGGTCCTTGGGCTTGCAAAGCAAGCACTAAAATGACTGAATCATCTCCCTGGTCCCTTCCCGCTTCCATCTTTAAGTGCTGGAGTTCTAGGTGTTCACCACTACACCGAGCTAAGCCTGGCAGTATTTTAAATCAAGGGGCAAGAGGGAAACTCATTCATCCAGCTTCTCTCTATAGATCAGAGGGTGAAGAGGTTTATTGATAGGTCAGCAAGGGGAGGATGCATCAAAGCCCATAACAGACACTTAGTTCTGCAAGTAACTCACACCGGGCCTTTCTCCAGCCAGACTGTGACCACCACATGACAGCTTATGGCTGCTGGTTGCCTTAAACTCCGCATCGCCAGACAAGGGCCTCCTGGTCATTTTTTTCCACCTGTCCAGCTCACTTAATGTTGGGGTATTTTGCAATTTTCTTTTGTGCTCTATAGAACTTTGGGTTGCATTAGCCACGGTGACCACAGTGTGGTTCGCTGTCACCAGCAGGGGACATCTGGCATTCTCAGCATCAACTGAGTTTGTTGATTTGTTCTCTTGCTGCCTTTGTTTAATTGCTAATTAAATTCCTCTAAACCTCCAGTCTGTCTTTATTTTGGGTCGGTTAGTAAGCTAAGAACCAGGTGGCCTCGACGTGGAGCCTTTTTCTTTATTGTGGCCTGAACTTGGAGCTGCCATTTAAATCCTTGTGTGTCTCATTTCCTCTTTTGCAATATAGAACTCATGAACCAAAGAACTTTAAATTTGATAAAATTTGATGAGCTTTTAGATGCATCTCAGTACAGCAAAATATGCTCCTCCTCCTCTCTCTCTCTGTGTGTCTGTGTCTGTCTCTGTCTCTCTCTGTGTCTCTCTCTCTGTCTCTCTCTCTCTCTCTCTCTCTCTCTCTCTCTCTGTCTCTCTCTCTCTCTCCTTTTTCTAAAGATAATTTGCAGGCTAGAGAAGCTGAAAGCATTGCTCCACATTTCCACCTCCAGGGATAATAATGCAAATGAGGTCGCAAGCGGAGGATGACGCAGTACCCTGGCTTCAGCCTTGCCATTCAGATTTGCAGCCACTGTGAGCCTGGAGAGACGGTTCATGCAGTCACACCCAGTGTGGCTTCCGACAGTACACTTAATGGTGGCACCATTTTGTCCTGCTCAGGAAAGGCACACAAGAAGTATTAGTTAAGCAACTTTCAGAAATGTGAAGGAAAAACGCTGGTGGTTGCTCATGTGTGCATTTGGGGAAATCCATGTAGGTATGCAGGGCACATGGAACATAGCAGCCTGGCTTTCTCAAACTGTGGGCTCTGGGGTGGAACTCAGGTCCTTGTGCTCCTAGATCAAAGCCTTTCCTGACCGAACCCAGGCATAACCTAGTTTTTTACTGCTACTATAGAATCTTTGTTTGTGTTCAGAGATCTGTCTGCCTCTTCTTCTGCTGGGATTAAAGGTGTGCACTACCATCATCCTGTCAGCTCAGGTAGACTACAATAATTCTGGAGAAGAAAATGAACAAGACACTGACAACTCAGAAGACAGTCTATGGCTATGGGAATCTTTCTCTGTTCTTCCTCCAAGCTTGATGGCTACTTGAAGGCAACATGATGTGAAATAAGGTTCATGTCGAAATCACGTCAATGACCTGCGAATAATTTTTGAATACTCCCGTATCAGTTTTCACTTGAAAAAATGTTTGTCCAAGTTCTTAAAACAGACCCAGCCCTACACGCCGACTCTGTGTAGCAAACAGAGTGCCCAGGGCTTGTGGCAGATGTGGCACTGTAAGGACTAGGAAATGTCCTTGAAACCAACAACTCCCAGGTTTTAACTCTGGTATTTGGATTCACTTGAAATGGTTCTGGGCCCCTGAGTTGTTGTGAACTTGCTGGTGCTCGTCAATGTCTGTGGCCTGGCTGTGTTCCTAGGTGTGGCTGAAGTGGAGCTCCTTGTTTCAGACCTAAACTGTGGTTTACAACAATGTCTGGATGGCAGTCTTAATCCGGACAGATGGCACATTCCGAGTGAGTGGTTTACAGAGGTGTAGAGAGACCCGTAGGGGAGGGGACAATGCCTCAAGTTAGCAAGCGCAACCTCCAGTCTAATCCTAAAGAACCAAAGAAAAGGAGTGCTAAGTGGAAGCTGTTGGGAGCTGTGAACCCCCAGATCCTGAATTTCTTGTAAACAACTTGTTTTCCCCTGATCTGAGTGCCTACAGCTGCCCTGAGCACGAGACCCTCGGGAGTTCCTGATGGCAGGGAAATGGTTTCTGGTGCGTTTGGCTGGGACGTGGCTATCCCTATATAAGCTACCCCTGGACACAATAAAGGGGGCATTTTTGGGGGCATTTTGGCATCAAGGATGACCTGTGTCTCTGTCTGTGAGACTTTGTGTGTTTCAATCTCCAGTCCCATACACGGTTCACGAACTGTATGGTGGCACATAGAGCGCAGACGGGCGTGGTGTACTACAAGTGAAGGTCCCACTGAGATCTGAGAAAGAGGGGTAAGCAGACAGGGTCATCCTGGGCTGACAGGGACGTATTGGGGAATTAAGATGCGTGTTCAATCCTGACGTCTTTTGCTCGGTTTCGGTTCCCCCTGTGCGGGCGGTGCAGGAAGCAACAAAGGGTAGCTGTACAGGGAAGGACGGACAGGACTTTTGACCTTGGGAAAGGACACAGATGATGTATACTAATCTCACAGAGTAGCATTCACAAAAACTAAAACAGAGACTACCACGAGTGTCCAACAGCAGCTTAATGGATCGACACAATGCAGTTTATACCTTCCATTATTCTTCCAAGGAAATTATTATTAATAATTATTAATATTCATCCTCACAAAGAAATGCGAGTCTACTACATGCCTGTTGGGTGGTGCCGCTGCCTTCAGGGTGGGTCTTCTATTCTCAGCTCCCTGCATGCCAGTCTTCTCTGGAAACACCCTCCCGGCATGCCCACAAGTGGACTTTGCCAGTTTTCTAAGCATCTCTAATAAGCCAAGCTTCCAGCCAACATTAGCCATCAGAGTGGAGCAGAGAGGAAAGTCTAGAGGAACAAGAGGAAGCTGGCCGATGTGGGTCTTTTCATCTCATCTTCTGCTCTCTAGAGCAAGCGCCAAAGCTGCTACCTTCATATCAGAAAGAACTGCTTTGAGAATGTGGCTGGCAGGTGGCACACAGCCAGAAAACGCAGCAGTGCATTTTCTGATTAACCCATACAATTGTTTGTGAGTGCTACAATGCTCTCTTCATATTTATTTATTTATTTATCTATTTATTAAATATTTATTTATATTTTATGTACATTGGTGTTTTGCCATGAGTGTTGGGTCCTAGGATTACAGACAGTTGTGGGCTGCCATGTGTGTGCTGGGAATTGAACCCGGGTCCTCTGGTAGAACAGTTAGTGCTCTTAACCACTGAGCCATCTCTCCAGTCCCAGTTCTCTACATATTTATATATCTGGCTTTTGACACCCTTACTTCTGTAAATCCATAATCTACCTTAAGGGGAAAAAATCGGAGGTATGGGCTAGAAATTATACACAGAGACATCCACTGAAATACCATTGGTAGGACTGGCAATGGTTCAGTCAGTGAAGTGTTTGCTATGCAAGCCCAAGGGCCTGAATTTGACTTCCCAGATTCCAGACGTGGCTGTGTGTCTTAGACTCCAAGCACCAGGGAGGTGATGGCTAGTGAGCATCATCTGCTCAGTGATGTCCAGGCCAATGAGAGACTTTGTCTCAAGAAAAAAAAAAAAAGCAAAGTAGACAGCACCTGAGAAAGGATTCCTGGGGTTTACCTCTGGCACCGCGAACATGCCCCTCAGGTACGCATACATATACCTGTATCTAAGAAAGCCGAAAATACAAAGAGAAGTGCCATTTAACTCACAAAAAGAGGCAGCCGAATGTGCCGCATCTATAATATAATCTCAAGTGAGGGAGCAGCTTCCAGGCTGGCTACATGGTATATCGTCTGTATAAGAAGGTTCCGATCTCACTAGAATGTTAAAGTGATTACCTTCGAATCATTGAAATAACTTTTTTCCAATTTTTTATTTTAGCATTTTTTGTTGAACATTATTCACCTTGATAATCAAGAAAAACACACACACACACACACACACACAACTTGTAAAAACCCTGCGACCACATCCCATGATAAATATTCCCACTAAAGATCCCTGTAGCATCTGCCCTGCCATCCTGGATAAAGGAATTGATTTACCTGCTGGCTGCCTATTAATCTACAGGGAAGCAGCCAGAGGAAGGGCAGCCACCTCCCCTGTAATAGACGGCGAGTGTGGCTGAGGGGGCAGCTCCCCGTGATGGAATATTGCTAAACGACGAAATTCTATCTCCCACAAGAAATTATTTCTGCTGGCTGTGCAAACGTCAGGCTGGAGCCTGCCCTTGGAGAGGTGGCTGCATTGCTAAGGATTTGTAAAATCAGCAGAGCCGGCGCAGGAACGCAGGAACAGTCACAGTGGCTGATTTTACAAGCTACTCACGACGGGCATCTGCGTGAGGAAACTGCAGCTCAGAGCTTATTTAACCTGTTGTGATTCTTTCTCATTTCCTGGCTTGCCGCTTTGAAAGGGTATCATTTCGCTCAAAGGAGGATGCTTTTTGTGTATGTAAAATGGCTTCACAGGTGTATGGAAATACTGCCTATTACCCTGGCCTAGATACGATCTCACCTAGCTCTTTTGTATTTATTTAGCCATTTGTCAAGCTGATACCTCACACGCCGAGGTAGTGGCCTGCCTCATTACCATAAGCAGATGTGCGTGGCAATATTTCCAGGAAGAACTGAGCTCTGGCTGGACTCAAGCTCTGGGAGACAAACACCCCCCTCTCAATGATTTTCAGTTCAGTTTCCCTCACGATTTCAAGGGCACACCTCTACAAGTGTTATAAGCCTGCTGGATCTGCTCAGTTTTGGTCCTCTGTTCTGAAGAGATCCTATCATTGATCTCTTGATTGCTGGTACAGAGACACTTGTCCCCTGCCAGACAGATGCCAAGGGCAGATAAGAAGGCTGCTTAGCCCATGCGGACTGTATGTTCTTCAAACAACACCCAGGGAGCTTCCCAAGCTTACACACATCTCTTCTCTCCTAAGAATCATTTGCTGCCCATTTTACCCTTCACATTGGCTTCTTGTGTTGGGATGTTTTAACCAGGGAAATTGATGTTTGCATCAATCAAGTCAAAAAACCAAAATATATTGCAAGAATACTACAGATCTCTTTCAGATTAGTGTACAAAAGATGGAACCATTGATGATAGTCATTCTTCTATAGGACAGATACAGCAGAAAACCCATGTTGCCTTTCCCACACATCTCTTGGGTCATGCACCCTAAGATTCTGGCCTGGAAGGTGTTGGTATGGGGAAACTGTGCATGTGTGCACTGCACAGTAACTGTATTCAAAATCCCTGGAAAATGGAGACCACTTTACTAGTATTTATTGTAAGTAGAATTCTTTAGACAGGGCTGTATTTCTGATTTTTGTCATGATTGGTTGCTGCTTTAGTTTGTTCTCCCCCACACAATAATGGAGACCAACTGCAGGGTTTTGTGCTTCCTAGGTAATTGCTCTGCCATCTAACTGAATCTTCAGCTCTGTAACTTGCCTGCCAGCCCTTGATGCTACGGACAGGAGATAGAACCTTTAAAGGTAGGGTGCAGTCATACAAGCAAGTCTAACCTATCGACATTTCAACACATGGCCACACTGTGGTGACAAAGTCTACAGAGTTCACATTGGAAAAGGGTGTAACTGAGTTACCAGAAAATGCAAAACTCCCATGTCTTAAGTCAGTTTATAATTTTGTGTTGGAGCACATACTTAGGGTTTTTTTTGTTTTGTTTTGTTGTTTTGTTTTTGAGACAGGGTCTCTCTACATAGCCCTGGATGTCCTGGAACTCACTATGTAGATCAGGCTGTCGTCTGGAACTCACAGAGGTCCACCTGCCTCTGCTTCCCTAGACCCGGGACTAAAGACATATGCCACCACACCCAGCCAATCATACCTATTCCTGACTTCATGCATCCTGTGGGCTATGGGTTGGACATGCCTGGCAATGAAAGAAACTCAGGTCTATGCCTATGCTCTCGAAGGGAATATGAGGATAAAGCCCTTTCTCTTTCCCTATTGCTTCCTGACTACCCTGAGATTTTAGTTCCATTTTGTTTCTGTTTTTGAGACAGTGTCTCCTGCCTTTGTCTCCTGAGTGCTGGGATTATGTCATGCACCATCTTGCCCAGTAGTTCTGGCTACCTTGAAACAGAGAAGCTCCTGTATCACCATCCCTTACCATGATGTACAGAGTCACCAGATGTCTAAAATAACAAGAAGAAGTAGTTAAGGGTCAGAACCATGAGCCTTTTTTTTCCTTAGTAGGTTGATTACTTTAGGTATGTCCCCATAGTCATAGAAAGCTGAGTATACTATTTGTATTGATGTGAGACATTGCCCTAGAATATGGCTTGTTAAGAATTGGTTGAGGCCTAGGGTTGTGGTTTAGCGATAGATCTCTTGTCTGGTGTGCACTAGATCCTGGACTCAAACCCCCACACTGAGTGAGGTCCAGAAAGATAACACCTAACCCAAAGCTTCCTTCTGTGCCAGCATTGTTCATATGTGTGCATCTCTGTCACCCATATGGTGGCTGAGTGCTCTCTGGTCCTTCTGTCAGCACAGAGAGAACCCACAGTTCTTAATGGCTGACCTGGCATTGTTTCTAGAGAGAAATTAAGTGTGAGTATAAATAGCTTGGCCAAACCTACAAAGACAAAGTCACACACATCTGAAGATACCTAGAGACACAGAACTGTAATTGCATTTGAGCTTAAATATAATGCATTTACTCAGAGGAAAGTGGTCGTTTTTAAAACCAGCATTGAGCAAAAACTTAACACCCCCCTCCCCCGGTTCTACACAGTATCACACTATCATAGTTATCAGAACACCATCAGGCGAGGCCAGAAACACAAGCAAGTCTGCCTAGAATTTTCTCGAGTGCAGCCAGAGTTACGAAGAAGTTGTTAAACTACATGTCAGGTGGTAAGGCTTCCGTGAACACAAAGCCGCGTGTTGCAATCAAAGGACCGTTTCTTCGTGGACTCAACCGCGCAGAGCAGTAATTATATGTGACTGTTAACCCACGATCATGTCGTCTGTTCGGAGCCCTCTGAAAAATCCGTGATACCACCTGCTTCGAGGGACAGTACACGGATTCATTTTTTCAAGCCGCAATGCTTTCCAAACAATGCTGCTTTGTGTTTCCTGCAAATACAAAGGGAGCCAGGCAGAAGTCAGGCTTCATGCTCCCACAAAAAGTTATTACCAACTTGAAGGGGCCCATCAAATACTCTCAGGTGATTTGGATTTTTCTAGACTTTATTGTAAGTTAGAGGAGTAGGCGACAGGACATCACAGAGGATGAACTAATAGCTGGACCAAAAAAAAAAAAAAAAAAAACCTCTCTGACGCTGAGATTGGTTTTTTGCAGACAGTGCCACCCTGGTGCTCCCAGAGACCTGCTACCGTCCTCCAGAAGCATGCGTTCAAAGCTGGGCCCTGTCATCCTAGATGGCCTAAGTAAGGACAGCTGAGCAAGGGCGAGCTGCCCGATCGCCTCGTTCACACTTGAGCTGTGTGCGATGAGCGCATTTGTTTGCCCTCATTAAGACAGCGTTGCAGGCGCTAACTAACATGCGGAGGCAGCATGCTGGGACAGGGCCAAGAAGTCCAGCAGAGGCAAGCAGAGGCGTGTCTGGAGAGCCTGCCCCTCCCCCCCCCAACAGAGTTCTGGCCCTGACAAGCTCGAAGCCTTGGGAACTCAGATGCATCTCTGAGGTCCTGGGTAACTCATCAAAAGCGAGAGGTATTTTAGGTCGAGGTTTCCTAGATGTGATTTCCAACACCCACGCCATTGAGTAGCCCCCTCCGCAAGTCCCCAAGACCACTTCCCAGACCAGGAAGATGGACAAAAAAAGGCAGTGTCTGGTCCTATTTCCACCAATGCGTCTCTAATGGACTTGTTACACTACATGGCTAATTTTAAGGGTGTGAAACCGCAAGGCTGGGGAGCCTTCCCATTCTTTACTAAGAAGAAGGCAGCGTAAAGGGCAGCATTTGCTCTTCCGTCACAGCCGAGTACGGCACACACTGGGCAGCTTGTCTGGGCCCACCGCGCAACTCCCTTGCCTGGAGCTGAGTTTCCTAACGCGGCTTTGCCTCAGTTTCTTCATCTGCAACACGGGAGTAGTAAGACAAGGATCTTAAGGGGTTGCCTTGAGGAGTCAGTAAGTAGATAAGAGTCCCCAAGGACAGGGCCGTCCTCGGAAACAAGGGTTTCTTCTTCTTATTGGCCCAGTATAACAGTCAGCTTCTGGGCAGCATCGTTAATAAAGCCAAGAGAGGGCGCGCAGAAGAGCTGGCTGGTCCCGTGTAAAGGTGCTTGGAGAGTAATCAGATTTGCTGAAAGTGCCTTTTTTAAACAGAACTGCGCACTTCTGATTCACGTTTGGGAAGAAAAGCAGAACAGAAGGTGATAAATTTCTTTATGGGAGAGCTTGGCAGGAAAGGCAGATGGAACGCTAAAGTTAATTGGTGACTGGGACATGGAACTCCTGGGCGGAGAAGCCGGGCTGAACACGCTCCCTCTCTCGCTCCGGTTTATGGTGATTGCTTCATTAGGGATGCTGAAAAGCCCTTCTTGGGCAGCCGCTGCTCCTGTCTCTGCCCAGACAAGGGTGATGTCAGCATATAGTTTATAGAGTTCTGCAGTCCTCCAGAGGATTCCGGGAGCTTGCAGAGCTGTCTCTGGGCTGCTTGCCAGCGTTCGGAAAATGGAATCCCACTAGAATCTTCTGCATCCCAGATTGCTTGTCTCTGTCGTGGCTTCTGTTGTCGTTGCTCCATACAAGCACCAGGTGTGCGATGTCTCCTTAGCAGTTCCTTCAGTGAGACTCATCTTTGAGCCTTCTGGCTTGAGTCTCTGAGAGCTGGGCTTTAATCCTCGCTCCTCTAGGACAAGACAACACACCGGGGATTTGCTGGCCTTACGATGCACAGTTTAAGTTCATAAGGGGTATCATTTTATGCACGAGGAAGAGAGACACAGATACCTGCCAATTAAACTCTAACACAAGGGTTTTCATTTGTCATCAGTCCTGCGATGCTCCATCAAGCCTAGACATGGATTTAAAAAAAAAATGGCATTTCACTTTTTTAAAAAAAGATTTGTGTTTGTTTATGTGTGTTTGCATGCATGTGCTGTGTGTGTGTGTGTGTGTGTGTAGCTACAGACAGTTGTGCCTGACCAATGTGGGTGCAGGGAACTGAACTCAGGTCATCTGGAACAACAGCAAGCCCTCTTCACAACTGAGCCATCTCTCCTCACATTTCTCTCTTGGGCACACACAGCAAGGAAAAATTTAGCTGGGTGTGGCGGCACACACCTGGAAACAGACAGGCGGATCTCTAGGAGGTGGAGGTCAGCCTGGTCTACACAGAGAGTTCCAGAACAGCTGGAGTTACATAGAAAAGAAGACTCTGAATATAAAGCGTTCCTAAAGCTCCTAATTTGTATTTACTATATATAAACATTTTAAGAATTGCATATGTGATTACAATGAATTTTGATCAGACTCACCTCTTGTTCCTCCAGCTTCTTTCAGGAACTGTACACCCCCTTTCAGATTCATACCCTTTTCTAGAAGAAAAGTTAGTCTCTTTAATTGCCTGTAATTAAACTAAGAGTGGGGCCTTGTGAGCCCTTCCCCAGTTCATGCTAGGATGTTGACCGGTATGGCCTTGTGCAGGTGACCACAGCTGTCGAGAGTCTAAGGAGGCAACGCTCCCGTCACATCAGATGACACTATGTCATAGAAGTTCCCAGGGGCTTCTGGCTCTTGCAATCTTCCATCCCTTTCCCCCATCATGTTTCATGAGTCTTGGCATATGGAGTTGTGTTACAGATATCTTCTTTAGGGATGGGCAATCCATAGTTACTTATTCTCTGTGTATTGGCTAGTTGTGGCTTTCAGTAGTAGCCTCCATCTCCTGAAAAAGAAAATGCTTTGATGAGGGGCAAGGGGTGCTGACCTATGGGTAGAAGGGCAAGCATTCGTGGGGCACTGTATCTATTGAGCAAAATGATGGCGGTAACAAGTTCTAGGAGCGGGATCTCTCCAGCCACAGGGTCTTGCCTATGTTTTTGAGAAACAACAACATACAAACAAAGCAGGCTGTTGCCATTACTCCTGGCTGGCTGGCTGAACTTGAGGGTCAGATCTTATTGCTGATGACACCATACCATTTGATCACAAGACTCAAAGACATCAAATCGGTGCTGACCTAGACCCCTCGTCTTGGAAGGATAGCTCTTAGTGTCAGAGTGCTATGCAGGCTATCAAAGGAGAAAACTTAGCAGAAGTCCTGCCCAGCTACAGATACGTGAACTGTAATAAAAATTAGTAAGATAAGCCCAGCAGTGTGATAGTGGCATTCATATCTTAGGGGTAATCAACAACTGATTGGCCATAAGCCCCACTTTGTAGAAGGGAACTCATGCTTGGCCCTGTAACTGTATTCAGAAAGCTTTTTAGTATGCAGACTCTGTGCCATCTCAGTCATCTTTTAACTTACAGATGAAATACATCTTTGTTGGTATTTGCTTTCAGATAATATAATCCTCCAGGATATCTTGACAATAGGCATATAGAAGATCCATGTCAGATCACGGAACCCACATTTAGACTGAATTGTTAATGACCTGGGAACTTGCAAAGGCCGTGCACGCCAATAGAACGAGCCACGATAGGTTTGGACTTGCACCATCAGTGGCAATCTCTGTGCAACTGTTAGCGGGCCAGCAGCAACTGTAAGACACGTCCCAGTCAAGAGATATTTAAGCATTGGGAAAAAAAGACATGTCTTAGAGACCATGAAATTGGTCATGAAGGCTTGTGCTTGTTTGTCTAAGAGATAAGATCTCATTCTTAGAAGACATTTCGAAGATTATTGCAAAGCTGCCCCTCATTCTGTGAAGGAGAAGGTGCATGGTAAATTTAGGCCTTCTCCGAGAACTTGATAACTCTGTTGACAAAGTGCACAGGGAAGGATCAGAAGCGTCCACTGTGACGGGTATCCCGGAGAGGGGCAGCTGTCCAGCACTCTGCTTTGTATCCTCCCCAAACATCTGCTCTTAAACCGGAGTCATGTATTTGTGCAATGTTGTTATTTCACCTCAAAACACACCCTTAAGAAGGTCATTTAGTGTCCCTCCTGCCTGGCTGATGATTTCTCCCTCCTACAGTGTGCCCTCCCCCATAGATTGATTTAAAGGAGCTGACCTCTCTAAAAGAGAAATTTCAGAATCTTCCATCCGCATCAAATCTAAACCACCAAGAGCATGCATTGAATGTTCCCGTTTCTGTGTAACGTTGAACAATTAAATCTGTGCAGGTCAGTGGTAGGTGGGAATGAATAGTATTACTAATGGGAGTTAGAACTTCTTTCTGAGAGAGAAATCTACTCTAAAATTAGATTGTGGAGGGGGCTGCATGACCACATGCATGCCGTAAAAACAATTATTGGCATACTTTTAATGGTCAGTTGTATAACACATGGAATACCTCTCAATAAGCGCATTTAAAAATACTCAGGATGTGCTCTGTGGATATGAAATAACACACTCAGAAATTCATCTCCATTCAACCCCATTGGGTTTATGTGATAAAAGCCTGGTGAGAATAATTTTGTTCAAAACAGCTTAACACTCAACCAACAAAATGATGGGGGTTCGTGGACAAAGAAGATCTCACCTCTCCTTTGAGGAAACGACAGTCAAGGAGGAGCAGACAGGAAGCTACTGTGCTGGAGAGACGGCTCCATAGGTAAGGTGCTCACTGTGAAAGGTTGAGGACCCGAGTTTGACCCCCAGCATCCACAGAATTGCTGGTGTAGTAGTGTGCACAAAGAACAAGGAGGAGCCCTGAGGCTTGCTGGCAAGCTAGACCAGACCAATCCCAGAGTTCCAGACTTCAATGAGCAACCCTGTCTCTAAAACCTAAGGGTTGGGGTTGGACACAATTGACGAAAACATCAGACATTAACCTCTGACGTCTATGAACACACACACACACACACACACACACACACACACACACACACACAATGGGGGAGACACAGGTAGGCAGAGAGACATTAGTACCTTGGCAGCCAGAGGAAACGTGAGATTCTGGGGTGGTTTCTTGGTAAAGTTAGCATTTGCTTTGGCTTTAAGGGCGTTAGACTTGAGGAGCAGTGGGAGTGAGGAGAGGGGCAGAAGCCTATGTCCCGACCCTTACGAGCTGGCTGCGGCTTTCTCAGAAGGCAGCCTCAGTTTAGGTAAGAGTGACCTTAGGGGGGAGTTCAGGAGCTGCCAGCCCAGCCAAGCTGCCTGAGATACTGGACAATGGCAGCCTGGTTCTTCAGGAGGGTATATATGTTGAGAAAAGTGAAAGAAGAAGTGATTAATGAGTAAGACTCCATTCACCTTTCTCTTTATTTCTCCAGGCTCTCTCTCCTCTCTGGTTCAGAAGTTCGTGGATGCCATGGGATCTATTCCCACGAACATAAAGTCAACCCCAGAGAGAATGGAGCAAAGCCTCCATATCCCAGTCCTCTAAGGGACACCACTCACCCGGATGCCTCACAGAGACTCTGGACGATAGCCCAGGAAGGACAGCTTGCTTTCTTGAACAAAGAAAGCCTCTGGATCAGTGGTTCTCAACCTTCCTAACGCTGCAACCTTTGAATAGAGTTGCTCATGTTACCGTGACCTCAATCAGAAGATTATTTCACTGCTACTTCAAAACTGCAGTCTTGCTACTGTTCTGGATTTAGTGTAAGCACATGATATGCAGGGTATTCCAATGCTCAGTCCCTAAAGGGGTTGCGACCCACAGGTTGAGAATCACTATTCTAGATCATTTGTTTTTTTTAACTCAGTGCTTTATTAAGACTCCCAGATCTGGGCTGGGGAGATGGCTCAGTCAGCAAAGTGCTTGACATACAAGCACAAGGATCCAAATTTGATTAGCAGCACCCATGTATAAAGCCAGGTGTGACAGTGTGTACTTAGACAGGAGGGTCCCTGGAGCTTGCTGGCTAACCATCCTAGTCTATGGGGTGAGCTCTAGATCCTATGAGACACGAATCTCGAAAACAAGATTGGAGGCTGGAGAGACAGCTTAGCCGGTAGAACTCTTGCTGCTTTTGCAGAGGACACCGGTTCCATATCCCATCATCCATACGGCGGCTAGCAACTGTAACTCCAGTTCCAGCGGAATCTAATGCCCCTTTCCCAGCCTCCATAGGCATCAGGCATGGATGTGGTACATATAACATACACTCAGACAAACGCTCAAACATACAAAAAAAATTTTAAATCTTTTTTTTTAAGTAGGCCCTTATACCTGTTGCCAAGCAGAATGACTTGAGTTTAATCTCCAGAATGCATATGGTAGGAGGCGAGAACCGACTTCCACAGATTGTCCTCTGACCTCCACGCATGCATGACATGTTTAAGGCACACACATAACAAAAACAAAGTGTGTGACCGCTGAGCAGTAACACCAAGGTTACCGTCACTCTGGCCTCCATGAGGACATGCATGCTCACAAACACACATAGACTCCCAAATAAATTTATTTTGATTGGGTTATTTTGTTAAGCAACAATATAGAATGAGCCAAGTGTTAACCTACTCAAAATGCAGATGAGCTAACCCGAAGATCTATGGGATAATTCTGCTCCTAACTCTTGATTCCCCCACTGAGGACTGGATGTGACTCTCCGTTGCCTCTCACTGGGGTCCCTGGCTCTGTGCTGCTCTCTTAGAATCTCTTTTTCTCCCCTCTGATATTAGTGAGACTCCCCGACAAGACTGTGGGACATCCTGTGTCCACTCTGCAGTCACCGGAATGGCTATTTCCTTGCATGAGCTTTTCACTTGTTTCCTTTCTCCATGCACTTGCCCAGAAGTGCTCTCATGAAGAACCACATTTCTGCTCTAGACCACAGAAGCACATGTGGGGGGCGGGTGGGCATTCCCCTTGTCCAGATGCACAGACACCCACAGCCCAGAGGTATCTCCCTTCTATTGATTCTTTGCTCTTTGTTGAGATGTTCCTATAAACACTCGGGGAACAAAAGAGTACCGGTATGTAGTTTTTATACTAAGAACTTCCTTATTCTTTCTAAAAGACATGGCCAGTATAAATACCTGATTTTGCAATGCGTAGGTCAGAGGACAAACACAGATGTCATCCTCAGGAATGCCGTCCGTCCCATGAGACAGGGTCTCTCTCTGACCTAGAGTTGCCTAGACTGACAAGTGGGTGAACTTCAGAGAATTCTTGTCCCTGTGTCTTCATGACTGAGAGGACAGGTAGGTGCCATCAACTCAGCGTTTTCCTGCGGATTCTGGGGATGGGACTCAGGTCCTCATGCTTGTGAAGTTACCCCACCCAGCCTAACTCCCCACCTTTTCCTTTGCACAGGTAGGGATAGAACCTAGGGCTTCACAGTAGACAAATGTTCTATCACTAACCTCACTCTCAGCTTCTGTTTCCCCCTTTTATGTCTGCCCTCTGCTCAGCTTCTAGGCCTTCATGGGTGAACGTGCTGTCCTGGGCCAAGAGCCTTGCAATCTTTATATTCTGGTGGTTTGGGCACAAACTCTTACTATGTTGCTTAGGTTGATCAAACAAACAAACAAACAAAAACAAACAAAAACCCTATTTTTTTTATACCATATGTAGGGGCCAGAGAACAACTTTGGGAGTTAGTTCTCTCCATCATGTGTGTTTGGGGATTGAATTTCGGTCATCAGCCTTGGTGACAAGGGCCTTTACCTGCTGAGTCATCCTCCTGGCCCATCAGGTTGGTCTTGAACTCAGGGACTTAAGTGATTTTCTTGCCTCAAATTCTCAAAGAGCTGGGCCAACAGCACTACAGGTTTGATCCACCACACCTAGCTCAGTTAACTTGACTGAGTAACTGCACCCAATTCTCTCTCTCTTTCTCTCTCTCTCAGTCTCCTTCCCCTCCCTTTCTCTGCTCCCCTTCCCCCACATACCTACTGGCTATGGGAGTTGCTCCATTTCAAGGAAAAGCAGAGAGTCCTGGGAAGGCCTCTTGACCTTTCAGCCCACTCCCCTTAGCCTTAAGGTTTTATCTGACCTCTGACCTCTATGTTTCTCAATCACCTGGCACTTGTTAGTGGAGGACACACACGCACTAATTCACATGATGACATCCCTCTCCGTCTCTGTCATCATGGTGGGACACCAAGAATTCTGGTACTTCCACTTTGACAGAAAGCAAATGTTACAAAATGTTCTTGGTTTCTAGTCCTATACTGACTCATTGAACCCCTTTTTATTCCTTTTGAAACACTTAAAACATCTGATAGATAATTCACACCCCTTGTTATTTTAACTACCTATCAAATAACAAATGGAAGAAATTCAAGCAAGGTTTTCAGGTTTAGTCTTTTGTTATTTGGGGTTTGTTGTTGTTGTTGTTGTTTATTTGTTTTTGCTTTTCCTGGTGTTGAGGAATCAAACATAGACCTTTTACACGGCAGGCAAGCAACTCCTCCCCTAAACGCTTGGCCCTAAACCAAATGTTTTCCGGAACTGTGTTTTTAAGAACCAATAAAGATCTCAATTCTGGGGAATCCTAGACACTTGAGCTTTTTACCTGAACCAATTTCGCTATGATAAAAATTCTGTCACATCAAATACCTTGTTATTAATCCTGTTACTCTCCTTGCCACAACAGATGCTTCTTTCTTCTTCATTAATTGAAGGGAGAGGCTCTTCTGAGTTCCAGCTGCTTGACCAAGAACACCCTGGCCAACACCACTCTTGACTCTCTATTGCCTCTCCCTATGAGAGCCAGCAGAAGTCCACTCTGAATCCTTAAGGATGGTCTCCCTCTATAGCTCATCCGTGACTGCTGACAAGAGCGTCTTCACTTTTTGGTGGAATTGGGGTAGGGGTTTGATAAGTGGGGTGAGTAGGTGGAGGATGCATAGGAACTAAGAGAAGAAGTTAGGTTTAGGGAAACCTTTAAAGCTATGAGATAGACCAGTTCTGGCGCCAGACACGTACAACCCCAGCACTGTGGGGCGAAAGCTGGAGAATCAGAAATTCAAGGTCATTTCCAGCTATAGAGGGAATTCCAGACTAACCTGGGCTATTGAGACCCTATCTCATAAAAGCAAAGAAATGAGAATAAATGAAGCCTCATTAACAGATGGACCACCCCGGGTGCTCGATGTTGTGAAAAAAGAAATGAGAACTTTGGATTCAGCCTCAGAAAGCTTTAATACGTAAGCAAACAGATAAATAGCAGTAAATACGTTCACAGACATGAACGAGGTCACTGCTTCTAAGAGACAGGCCTTCACTAGAGTGGTAGAGACAGAAGACACAAGGAAACATAGGAACCCAAAGGTCACAGCGCTTGGACACTGCGGTGGTTTGAATAAGAATGGCCACCACAGGCTCAAATATTTGAATGTTTTATTAAGGAGCGGTACTACTTGAAAGAGATTCGAAGGTGTGGCCTTATTGGAGGAAACGTGCCACTGGGCACAGGCTTTGGGATTTCAGAAGCCCAAGCCAGGCCCCATGATTATCACTCTTTCTGCTACCTGCAGATCCAGACGCAGAACTCTGAGCTTCTTCTCCAGCACCACATCTGCCTACGTACTACATCCTTTCTGTCATGATGAGAATGGGCTACACTTGTGAAGCTGTAAGTCAGCCCCAATTAAAGACTCTCCTTTGTAAGGGTTGGTGTGGTCATAGAGTCTCTCCACAGCAGTAGAACATTGAATAAGACCAACACTTGGTCCAGCTGTGTATAAAGTTAATTCTATGTGAAAAAACACCCTGACAGCATCAGTCTCAAAGCAAGGCAAACCGTCTCATTTCCCACAAAATCCCTTACTCATAGAAAAAGGACAATAAAAGCAGTCACACAGGACTTATAATAGGAAGGACTTGGCAACGCATGTAATACATTTCAATAATCAGGGAGGGAAAAAAAAACATGTTTTTGTTCTAGTGGGTGGATTTATTTACTGTTAAATATTTCTGTACAGAATGTATGTACACTATAACTACAACTATATTTGAACCATGGTGTAGGAGGTAGCAAGCAAAATGAAGGAGTCTTGTTAGAGTTAGGCTATGGTAAGCTCTTTAAAGATTGTCGTGGCTCTAGTGCTGCTTTGCTATTTGTTTCCAAAAAGAATTGTTACAATTTAGCTTTTAAATGCCCCCCCACACAAAGATCCCTGTGCCAAAGGTTTGACCACCAGTCTGTATTGTACATAAAAGGTGGATCTGGGGAAAGGAAGTTATTTATTGGGAGTATGCCCTCGAAGGGAATGTGGGGACCCCGGCTCCTCATTCTCTCATTCACCTTTTTTTTTTTCTTTTTAGTTTTTCACAATTTCTCTGTGCAGCTCTGGCTTTCCCGAAACTTGTTCTGTAGACCAGGCTGGCCTCGAACTCACAGAGATCCACCTGCCTCCTGAGTGCTGGGATTAAAGGCGTGCACCACCACTGGCCAGCTGAATCACTTTTTCTTGTTTATAACTTGAGTCTTATTCATTTTTATTTCTTTCTTTTCCTCTCTCCCCGGGCCTTCTCCTAGTCACCGTCACCATGAGCTGAGCAACTGTTCTCCACCATGTGTTCTGCCTCATCGTAGGGTCAAAAATAAAAACAAAACCAAAAAGCAATGACCAGCTGCCCCTGAACAGAAGCCTCTGAAACCATGAGCCAATATAACCCATTCCTCCTTCTGATTCACTCATCTCGAGTATTTTCTCACGGTGATAATGAACTGATTAGCATATGAATGAAAGAAAAAAATTGTTTTCCATGACATGGCAAGAAAGGAACTCGAGTGTCTGTTGTTTCTATTCAAGAGGTGTACATTTTTCACAGATGAGAAATCCTGAGATGAGAAACCAAGGGTGATGTCAGGCTATGTGGTGAGTCAGTGTGGGAAACCCTTCACCGTTGCTCCCTCATGCTGTTGATAATTCTCCCACTGTTCACTGGTGTTGTGAAATTATCAATCCCTAGTCTAACATGCCCATTCCTAAGTACCTACCGTTCAGGGCTCACCGTCAAAGAGCCACACTACATCTGCATCGTTTCCCTCCTCGGTTTTCACACACAGCTGTGATTCCACGGCTTCGCTTCTCCTGGTGGTGGGACTGCCGTGACTCCCCCAGTAGCTGAACAAGACCCAGCTGCCCTGGACCTGGAAAGATTACAGAGGTGGCTGCCTTAAAATGATCGACCAAGTCTATGATACTTTTCTGACGGCCTCCTCTTCACATGCTTCGACTCGTTCATTTTCATCTCAACAGTAGGAGTTTTGACTTTTGGTCTCTCATTCTGTCGTGATCCTGGTCAGAGGTAGTGAGCTGCAGTCACTTGGTTGTCAAGGAAACAATTCAGATTTTACAGTGTGCTGTGCTGCTCAGCTATGATGTGTGCTCGGCTAGCTATGTTCAGTGCCTTTTGCCTTAAATGTCTTTTCAAGTTACAGTGGGATTATAGGCGCATAACTCCACTGTCAGCCATGGAGCGACCGTCTGGTGAGCATGCAGATGGCTTGTTGCTTCAGACCCTGAGTCAGAGGTGAAATGAGACCAAGAAGGGACGAGTGGAAGGAAATGGAAGAGGCAGCAGCCCCTCCTCCCTGACATCAGCCTTGGCAAGGGTGGCTTTGGCCACTTGCTGTGTACTCTTGGCATCAGCTGAGAACTTTGGGTTATCACTGTGTTTGCTACTGGTCTGTCTGCAAGGTGCAAACTACCGTGACCAATCGAGAGAGAAAGGTGAATGTCAGCATATGTGTCTTTTTGAAATGCAAATGACTCTCAGGAAAGGTAATAATAATTGCTATGGCTCTTGTAAAATTAAAAAAAAAAACAGAAAAACTTCAGGCATACTCCTCCAAGCCCATACAGCACCTCTTGCATGAACTTTACCCATTCAACTGCAGGAAATGAACATCATGAGAGTCCCAGGACTTTTAGGTCAAATAAACCTCAGGCATCCTTTCTGTGCTGCAGGATGGAAAATATTCTTAGCATCCTAGATGAGCAACATCCACTCCTTTCACTTTAGAGAAAAAGATGTTTATGTCCCCTTGCTTTCTTTTACCATAGCCAAATTATTCTGTCTCACAAGTGTTCATTGTTTTGTTTGTTTTATTTAAATTGAACTACCTGATATCAATCACTCTGATAACAAGTTGAGTTTCAAAAATTATAGCTAAATATATATATAAATATATATTATAAAATAGAACTAAATATATATAATTAAACCAGCCAGTAATAGTTATTTAAAATACCAGCCACTGTTGCTTGGCTTTGAGTTTTTGTAATGTGACCTCAATATGTAACCGAGGCTAACCTTGAACTCATGATCCTCTTGCTTCTACCTCCACACTCTGAGATTGCAAGCATGTACCACCATGCTCAATGGAAAGCAAACAAATAAAACAAACAAAAACAAACATTTTTTAAATGACATGTTCAAAAATGAGTCAACCTTAAGGGTCTTGCCTCTTTTGACATTCTATACTTTTTTTGAAATCGTTTTATTTTGAAGCTTATTCTTGTCATGTGTAAGAGTCTCAGAAGATTAAAGAAATATTTTTGTCTGCTTTCAGGGTCTCATTTAGCCTAAGTTGTTCCTTAAGCTTGTTTGAATTCCTCTTTCCACCTCCCGAATGCTGGGATAACGGAAATGCGTTGCTTTGTGCGTCTTAAGAAACACGTCTAAAATTCAGCTGACAAGCATTTCATAAAGGGCAGTTTGGAGGCTAACGGTTAGCTCAGTGGTAGATGATTTGCTAGCAGGCTAAAGTCCTGAATTCGATACCCAGCACCAAAAATAAATAAATAAACAAATAAATCAATAATGGGGTGGGTGGGTGTGGTGGTTTGAATAAGATTGGCCCCCATAGGCTCATTTATTTGAATGCTAAGGGACGGTCTTGTTGAAGCAAGTGTGTCACTAGGGCTGGATTTTGAGTTTTCAGATGCTTAAGCTGGTCTCTTTCTCTCTTCCTGCCGCCTGCCAGTTCAGATGTGGAACTCTCAGCTCCTTCTCCTCTTGTATGCTACCGTGCTTCCTCTTACGACAACAACAGACCAAACCTCTGAATTGTAAGCCAGCCCCTATTTAATGTTTTCCTTTATAATAAATGTCTTGGTCATGGTGTCTCTTCACAGCAAGAGAATCCCTGACTATGACAGTGGGCAATTTAAAGTCAAACTGACAGTCTAAGGAGTTGGAGAGATGGCTCAGTGGTTAAGAGCACTGAGACCCAAGTTTGATTCCCAGCACCCGCATGGTCACAACCATCTTGCACTCACGTTCCAGAGGATCTGCTGTCCCCTTCTGGTGTCTGTGGGTGGTAGGTGCACGTTCAGTGCACAGACATACATTCAGCAACACATACACATACACTGAAAAAATACACCCCCCCGCCCCGCTCACTTTCCTCTCCTATAAATGGAAGTTCATGGGAGTTCCCACCCGTTGGACTTACTGTGAAGTGCCAAGAGGTAGCAGCTATGTAATACCATGAAGGCTGAAACCGTAGGGGAATCCCAGCCATAACTCATAACTGTAAGGTCCTACAAGTATAAAAATTTCTTCTATTCCTCTAGGAATTTTACAAAGACAGGGAGAACAGGATTCAGTGTTTTAGCTTGTGAAGCATGAAGGAACATTCCAAGTCTTGGTGGGGAATGAAAACAGAAGTGTTAAAGACAACTGATAGCCAGGCCTGGTGGCATATGCCTGCCATCCTAGTACTTGAGAAACTGAGGCAAGAAGATTGAGTCATCCGAACTTTAAGTGTTTCTTAAGGCCCATATAGCAATGCACGCCGATAACCCCAGCATTTGGCAGGCAGAAGCGGGAGTGGTAGAAGCTAAGGGTATCCTCTGCCACACAGCAAGTTCAAGGAACAACCTTGGCCATATGAGACCCTCAAAACAAATAAGCAAAATGATTTTCTCTGCCTAGTCTTCTGACGATCTTACAAAGACAAGCCTTAAAATAAAAGACCAGCAAGATCTTTCTATTAAAAACAAACCAAATCAACAACAACAAAACACCTTTATTCATTCAGGAGATATTTATAGACGTCACTAGGCGAGGACTGAACTCTCAGTGAACTT